TCATTCCGAAAACAGCCTTGCTATAAGCAAATCTTGGGCCTGATTTACTGGTTAACGTCACAAAACACAGCAAATTATTGTTTTTGTTGTGTAACGTTGCTTCATTCACAATGTTGTCAAGATCCCATAACCACACCATATTGGCATATTGATAAATATTGGAGTTCCGAGGCAAATACACAACGAAAGAATTTAAGGTTCAGCTTGGGCATTTAGTGAAGAAAACAAAAGAAACGTTGAGGAGGAAGAAGAAAACAACGTCAGAGCATAATGCAGTAGGCTGGTGAAGTTGACAGAAGCAGTAGATTTTCATGTGTATTAACATGTGCAAGTTGGGGATAGAAAGAGAAAGGTCCCATTCCATCCCATGCAATTGTCTTTGAAGCAACCAAAGAACTTCTCGCATTCCTTCTGGCCCCCTAAACCCACATGCCACATCATTTGGTGAATCTGTCACCTTCCACGTGACTCTGAGTTTGGGGCTCATCACTTCTCCTCTGCCTCATAGCCATCCGTTTAGTATGTTTTAAGCCACTTTGCAATGAAGCTCAACCGATATGTTAGAGACAAGGCGTGATCTTCATTTACTCCTTGCTTTCAAACTAACTGGAATTGGTACTTGTGCGTTGGCATTTCACATGGAATTTAAGTGAACCCTCTTTAGGTTTTGCAAAGTTTCCAAAGTTTGGTTACCGTCAAATACTTTTCCAATCAATTATGTTCCTGTATTAGAATGTGACTTTGAGGTTTATATTAATCATTTATTGCACCATAAGAATTATATTACATTGCCTGATCGGGATATTTTCAATAGAATTAGCGGAGTGATCATTTTATGTATGTGCTTTTGATGATTTGGAAATGGGAATTTAAGTGAGAATTTTCATTTGGGGGCAGGAAGCTAGATGATTCGGTCATCAGCAACATGAAAGTGGTTGAAGCCTTAAAACCAATCCCTATTTAAAGCAATTGGGCAGAATTGCATCATTTTGGTAACATCAAAAGTTAAAAGAAAAAAAAAAAGTCATTATCTTAGTAATCAATGACTTTTTGGTCATGTGGGGATGCCGGGTGCGCACATGAAAGTGTCACTAATGCTGGCAGAGGGAAGAACATGAATAGGCAAGCATTTCGAATATCGAAGATAGCCACAATTGCAGAACCAAAAAGTAGAAAAGGAAAAAAGAAAGAAAGATTGTTTCCATTGAGAAAGAAAAAGGCAAAGAAAAGTAAAAGGTAAAATAAACATCACTGCTATTGACCATACATCATCTGTAACAAAGTCTTTCAATAACTCGGAAGTTTTGACATTCAAACTGAACTATTGTTTGTATGACTGGACAATTTAAATAAAAAGAAAAAGAAAAGAAAAGAAAAAGAAAAGAGAGAAAAAATCACCAATCATTTCAGATCTATAAACCCAAAAGACAAAAGAGTATGTAGAGACCAAGATTGACGCTGGGGAACAAAAGGATTGACCAAATGGTGGTTAGGACAACGCTTTCCGCACCTGCTGCTAAGACAGATTTTTTTACTTGAGTTGAAGCAGCCGAGGTGAGAAAATAAACAGATTGTGACAAACGGAATGATGAACTGGGTAGGACAATATAATGACAATGTGTAAAATGTACACTTGTCAAAATATGTGATGATGAAGATGCAGGTAGATGGGGGTAAAGAAACAATTGATACAATATGGATATTTGGTAGGTAGTCCTTTAAATTTTTTAGAATGATGGAAAAGAGGAAATCAAACAGATTGTAAATGGCCCTTTTTTTCAGCCAATTTAATTGATTGAGGGATACACTAGCATTGCCTGCCTCTGCGGCAGGGAAGAGGCCCAGCATTGGAAGTCATGGCTCCAACCATGGAAGAGGACTTGGCTCCCAAGCTTGAGGCCCTGGCATAGCTGGCTGAGGCTCCAGCTCCAGATGGAGTGAAGTAAGCGCCATTAAGCAGCAGGTCTCCTTCTGACCTCCAGTTCCAGCTCTTCCACTGGCTGTCAGCTGTATCCACTCTCTTGGTGACCTGCTCAAGTTCAATCAATTATAAAATGATCAACATACTCAGGATGTGAATCTCAACGTAAGACTAAAAGAATGAGAGACTGAGACAATACCTCCTTTGCAAATGGGTTCGTTGGAG